ACATTTGATACAAGGAATTTATCGACAGCAATCCTGAAGTTGCTTCATGGTTGGATGCGATTCTGAAAGAGCAATGGTGCAGGTCGTATGATGAGGCAGGACTTAGGTTTGGTCATATGACAACCAACCTATTTGAGTGTGTGAATAAGGTACTTCGTGGAGCACGTAATCTGCCGATAACTGCATTGGTCAAGATGACATTCAGTAGACTCGTTGAGTATTTCGTCAAGAGACGTGAAGCCATTGAAAAGGATATCTCACAAGGTTGGATAATTTCAAAGAAGGTTGAGGCAGCTTTGCAAAAAAATGATGAAATGGCCGGCACTTATCGTGTGAGGATATATGATAGTGAGCTGTTATTGTTTGAGGTTGAGGATGCCTACAATCAATCTACACACGAGGTTGGTGACACCATGAGAGTGGACTTAATCAATCGTACATGTCAGTGTGGTAGGTTTACAGCAAGGAGGTATCCCTGTAGTCATGTATTAGTCGTTTGCAAGGCAGCCAAGTTAAACCATTATGATTATGTGGATGATATTTTTAAAATCCCAACCATTGCTAAAGTATATGTTACACACTGATATCCTATTGGCAATGAATTGTTGATTCCATCCGATTTTGGGCCTACTGTAATTCTGGATGCGCGGTTGGTACGTGCAAAAGGAAGACCAAAGTCTTCAAGGATTCAGAATGAGATGGATTGTGTTGAGTCTCAACCGACGAGCAGTCAGAGCAGATGTAAGCATTGCAAGCAAGTTGGACATAACATTCGTACATGTCCATTGAGACTAAGACAAGCATGATTATGTATTGTTTCTGTGTAGTACTTTGTTTTGTAATGACATACTATTTACGTATTATTTTGTTTCCGTGTACCCTAAACCCTATCTTGTATTAGTTATGTATTGTGTTGTTGAAATGTATTGATGAAATGTATTGTTGTGTTGCATAACATACATTGTTGACAGCCGTTATGATTAGCATTCAACTTGTTTCGTATTGTGCAATCCGAATGTATACCATACCCATTTACCCCCTCTCCGAGTCAGTTAAGGTTATCGTATTGTGCAATATCTAGGCTCAGCGTCTGCCCTCCTAGTCTCTGTAACAATGGCCTCCCGGTCATAATCACCAAATATATGATGGTTGTCTCCATCATATAGTACTGCTCCTGTGACACCATCAAAATCGAACCCCAGTAGCTCCGTCCAGATAGGACAGTCATGATGATATCAATCCCACAGACACGGGAAGTCAGCTCGCCATGTGAGTAGACAAGGTTCTGGTAGAAGGCTCTTACCATAACCTCCGAGTATGGGCGCCGCATCTCCGCCAGGACAAGTAAATGTGTCTCCTCAAGAAGCGGCACAATGTCAAAACGCTCCAAGTTGAAGAAGGCCGAACCCAGTGATTTCGGCTCGCAAATCTTTCGGCTCATGAAAAACTTCACGAACCTCTCGTGTGCAAGTATGTCATCCTCAAACAAATATCCGAACGTCAAGTCCGGAGCTTGACTCGAAGCAGCCTGGGGCTGAGAGGATGACGACCCATCGTGACGACTCTAAGGTTCTTCTCTCGGAATGGCTCACTGGCAACTTTGAAACGCTTCTAGAAGTCATTGCGTCACACTATTAAATTGAAAAAAAAAGCCAAAATCAGAAATCAGAAACATACAGGTTAGGGTTAGGGTTAGTAATTTCAAAAACTAATCGATCAAAATCAAATGACATAACCATGTAAACTACAAAAACGCAATAATTTCAAATGAGAGAGGGACAAACATCTTAAAATCAGAACAGGAAACATCCAGAAAGAAATAAAAATTAACCTTTGATGAATTTCTATCGGAAGAAGGCAGAGACTCACACGTGCACGAACTGATGATCACAACCACGAAGAATTTGAGCAAGATTTCGTCCTCAATCGCGCAACCAACACACCTCCAGCAGCTCTACTCGGGTACCCCTTTGTGAGTTTTTCAAATAGGGGCTGCTGGATTATATAAAAACCCTACCGTCGAGATTTACCCAGGTACACCCCTCCCTACCCGGGTAAATAATTCAAGCAAATTCCCAGGTGCGAAGAACAATACCCGGGTAGGCAAAAATAATCAAAAAATACCCGGGTAAGGAGGGGTGTACCCGAGTAGTCTTGGTGGTCAACGGTCAAACATGGGCAGATTGATATTATGTTTTTTAAGGGGTCAAATTTTCAAAATAGTTTATAATGAAGATCAAATTAGTAATTAATTATTAATAAAGGGTTATAAGGGTCAAAAAGCCCGGGTCTTTGTCTTGGCATATTTAACAAATACAACAGTTTTTTTTTTTGGTAAAATCAAATATAACAGCCTTAAATCTATTACAAAGTGTTTCTAAAAATCAACCCACAAACTTGTTTTACAAGTACGGGCATGTGAGTCTTTAGGTTGACCTGTACTTTTAAATATATTTTTCTAATTAATATTTATACATAATTTCATTAATTGAATAAATTCCTTCCATATAAAATGATGTGTGTTTATAATTTATACATGATAACATTGATTGAATAAACTTCTGGGTTCAGATAAATTGCAAATAAAACTTGCACATTCACTGCACATATTCACTGCAATATATGCTTATCCTTCAAAATATGAGGACTACCAAAGGTATACTAGCCAACGTTCATTTTCCATATATAATTTATGATAATATAATTTCTCATGTATACACAAAAAAGCGAATGCAACCCACTAAGGAGAAGAAAGAAAAAACAAGTGGATCACATCTACTATTTTATATGTGCATGAAATAATTTTATCTTGTATAACATGAGAAATTATATTCCCATAATTTATTGCAAATAAAATTTGCATATTCATCGTACATATAACTTATTTTTGATATGCAGCCAACATTTAATTGTATAATAACTCCAGAGAATAAACTTTTATTATAAAATAGTGGGATTATGAAACTACATGGTCATGGAAAGGTAAAAAGAATTTGAAATTACCTAACAACAATTTGCGTTAGATTTTCATCTTTTATTATTTCTATGTATATTTTTAGAATCATATTCCATAAGTACTCAAGTTTTAATATTATGTTATGCGCCTAATATTATATTACTTTATGGTATGTGTTCAATATTATATTATAAGGAAAAGTGTATATCATTTTAAATGATGCAAAGTTATGTTATTTTAAGTGAGAGAAAGAGATAGATAAAGGAGGAGAGAGAGTGGACAAAAAAATATAAAGATGAGTCTCACCTCTTTGTAAGAGTGAAATGACACAAGTTGTGTCATTTTAAAGGACAAATATTTTTTCCTATATTATATTAGAGGAAGGTTATACTAATAACTTTTTTAATTTACAACCTCTTATAACCATATCTTAACACCGTTGATTTTCGTCAATCAACGGTTATGATTTTTGCAAATTAAACTCATTAATAATTATTAATTCAGAATAAATGATAACCGTTCAATTGTCTGGAAGTTCAAGCCAAGTCTTATATTTTCATAAAACAGGCCGATGCAAATCAATATGTTAACTTGTATTAGGTTAAGAGATTGAGTCAGCTCAAAATATTTTACAGAAGCCTAAACCTCTAGTAATATAGTAGTTAACAAAGTTCTATCCTTAAAATTATAACAAAAAATTTAATCCGTAGCTTTCAATAATTTTCAAATTTCGAAGTTTCTTTAAGACTACCTTTTTTCTTAATTCTACAGTAGTTGCACTAGAACATCGCAAAGCATAGACTCGATTGCTGATTCAGATCAAGTTTATTTTCAAATGCATCTGAGGCAATGCCATTACAAGTTTACAACCAAACCATTATAAAAGCATGGTCATTTAGATGGAAGCCACCCATTTTCCTCAACCTCTCAATCTTTTTTAATCTTACAACAAGCTATCATTCTGCATATTTCTTTTTGCTAAAATGGTTAAAAGCAAAATGCATCTTACCACCCTTTTGTATCCTACAATTTGTTTAGACAGTTGAACTAGAGCATAACCATTGTACTCCCATACCATTAGTCTAATAAACAACCTTTTGTATCCTACAATTTGTTTAGAGTTTAGACAGTTGAACTAGAGCATAACTATTGTACTCCCATACCATTAGTCTAATAAACAAGAATATATAGAGAAAGGAAAAGGTGGTAGTTGAATTAAACGATGTGAATTGCGCTAAGTGCTAGCATGTTGCACGCACCTCTTTTGTTGCGCAAGCAGTTGAGCCTAAAATGCTGCATAACTGGTTGCATTACTTCCGAAGATAATTGCCCAATCATTTTAATTTCGAATTTTTTTTATTTAAATTACATTTTTAAATTATTTTTGCCCGTAAACAAGTGATGTGAAGGGACATTCTCTCTTTTTGAATTGAGTACTACTAAGAATATTTCTAAGACCGGTGAATGGAAGATTTAACTTGCCAAAATTTCTACACCCCTTTTTTTTATATTTATTTAACCTTTTAGAAACTGTGTGTTCAGTTGCTAAGTGTCAAGGGTCAACAATGTGGGGGGAGGGAAATAACAGATGAACATTATAAAGACCTTACAAAAATAAAAATAAAATAAAATAAAAATCTAAAACTAAAATTGAACATATAGAAGACAATGATTAATCCATGACCACCACAGCATCAAACGCAAAACCTCCGCCATGCTGATGTACTTACAAATATGATTTTCTTGCTCTCGATACAGAATAAATAAATAAATAATTCAAATAAAATAATATTATTAATTTCCTCGCTCCTGGTTATAATTATAACATAAATACCTGGAATTTTCAAGTGACTTTTCGAAGTACAGTAAACCAAGGATACTTAAATTCATATATTATACCAAATGATGCTCCCAAATGAAGGTGATGCGCTAAAGTTGCTTCCATAGAATTCAAATTTTCATTTGCTCAGACTTGAAAAGTTATGAAACGCCATAGAAAAATCAGGAAATTAGAGTCTTCAACTGCATAGTAAAGAGAAACTAATGACACTAATCTATGACGCCATCATTCCTTCCCAAAATTTCAAGAACAAAAATGAAACTTCCACCGATGCAGACTTCGAAAATAACTTCCTGCTGTAATTTCTACTAAAAAATTTACACATTTGATTTTTTTTTTTTTAATTATTGAAACAAAGGAAATATATCTAACTCCACCTACCGATCTTGGCAAAATTATAGAGGTGAAAACTACAAAAACAAAACTGCAGGAACATGGCAGCGACAATGAACGCTTCAAATAATACCAAATAACTAAGCAGAAGGGCAACCATCTAACTAAACATACATGATAACCAACACCCACTATATCAAGCAGCTGTTCCCCGGCCTGCATATCGACCAAGCCCACGGCCTCTTCCCCTTCCTCGTCCACGGCCTGCAAAAACATCAAACAAAAATTACTATAATGTTAACATAAGTACCATGGAGGAAAATTAAAAAGACAACAAGGAAAACAGTAGATGAATTGAATGAAGTAATTTTCTTCTGTATCTTCCGTAGCCTGATTTAATAGGAAGTACAATGTAATGCAAATAGCATAGCAAAATATAAGAACTAGAGTTAAAAACACAAATCCATTCATTGTTCTAGCACATACACGGTATCAATCAATATTTCATCTGATAATACAATTGTATTTTAGGCATAACAACTCATCTTTATTATCTAGAAATCTAAATTTCATGAACTTGCATGCTTACCACGTGGAGCAGGTGGTGCATCATATTCACCATAGTCATAGTACCCAACTGGCTGGGCACCATAGCCTCGTCCTCTTCCCTGGAAAGCACGACCCCTTGCACGGCCTCGCTCTCTGCCACCATAGCCACGTCCACCATCCCAGCCATCACCATTTTCCATACCCCCATTGTAAATTCCTAAGCATAAAAGATTATATCCTAATAAGCAACTTTTGCATCTTTGAAAAATCCATAATAAGGAGTTCAAAAAACCATTTCTGATCATTCTATAATCTATAGGACAGCCAATTACAGTGAAATAAGTGAAACTAAGTACTTGGCAATACCTCTACCCCTGCCCCTTCCACGACCACGCCCTCTTCCTCGCATCCTTGGTGAGCCTTCTGTATCATATCAAATTATAGTAAACACTCCATAATAAACACACTTATTTCACTTTTTCAAAATATTAAAAGAAAAAAATTTAATTCACCTCCTTCCTCTTCATATTCATTTAAAGGTTTTACTTGATCAACTGGAAGAGGAGGTTGGTATCTGCATGAGGGAAAAAAAAAAAAAAAACTTAAAATACCAACAATGAATATAATTAAAAAGAACTCCAACAGTCAAACGAGGGCCAGGGGGTTGGCTCTGCCCCGCCCCTAAAAGAAAAATCCGAAGTATTATATCCTAGTTTCACCCAAGTATAAACCATACAACTGTTGCTTTAATTTTCCTTTTCGGTCAAGCCAAATAATGCAAACAAACTGAAACACGAAAAAACCTCTTTTTGTCAACACAACAGAGTACATGTACAGAATCATGTATAATATTGATCTTCCAGTAACTTCCAAAGTACTAAAATAATACAGAAGACAACCAGAACTTGTAGATCATGACAAGATCTTAATATTTACAGAATTGAATAATTAATAGAATCCATCAGGAGCCAAAAATTAGAAGAAGAAAAATGTAAAGTGCAAATTTATATCAATAGAAACTGATACACAAAAGTTAATGAAGGTGAAAACTTCCATCAGTCTGCACTAAAGTCATATAGGAATAAGTACAACAGCATGATAGACACGGTATTTAATTCACTCCTTGAAATCAAAGATCTAATATGTTCCCTCGTCCTCTACATGGTATTTGAAAAACCGAGTACAAATTAGGAGTCAAATGCCAAACAAAGAAACATGTCAAGTAAATTTACATGCCCCTCTCCACGTTTAATGAGATTATACAGACCTGACTTGTTTCTAAAATAGCATAAGCAATCCTTAGTTTAGAATTTAACAAGAAAAAAAGGGGATGTAAGTGATAAAATTTAAGACAAGGCCTCCAGTTTTTTAGAATCAAGGAAATTATGTTTGAAAAAAGGGAGGTTCAATGTTAGGTGTCAAACACACTATGTTAGGCCAAAAGTATGATAAATAACGTTGTAAATGATAAAATGCATAGTGTATATTATCAAATGCAAAAGACTTTGGAGTTTTCACGATTGGACATGATTCTAACTTAAAAATATATTGGTTTCAGGTTTAAATTGTCAAATTTGAGCATCGGAGCAATGGGTAAGCTAGAAGAACTTAAAGCGATAAAGGAAGAGCAATGATTTAGTAAAAATCTCTTAAGAGCTGTCTTCCGGCCAATTTTTAGTATCCAAGATGATGGATTTGGATCTCATGTTCTTCATAAAAGTTGTAGATCTCTCTTTTATCTTTCTAACGAGACCAAGATCACATCAATTGGACAAGTATAGCCCAAGTTATGTCCAAAATACGGAATCAGCGTGCAGAGACACATTAACTCGCTAAAAAGAACTCGCTCGAACGAGCAAATAGCGAGCAGTGTCAACTGTCAAGTAACTCACTAAAAAGAACTTGCTACAGCGAGCAGATAGCGAGCAGTTCGAAAAAATAAGGCCCATGGGTCTTTTTCATTAAAAAGGGACATCTAGGGTTATTTTCATTGAATTTTGGTGCGGCTAAGAACGTCTTGGAGAGGCAAAGGAGCAGTTCCAGAGGGGAGGAGGAAGATTGATCAAGAACTCACCTTGGATACCATTTAATCAAGTTTTATCATGAACTCTCTCTACTCTTCTTGTCTTGTTTTTGTTTCTATGACAATGATAGGCTAGTTTCTTTCTTGTAGTTAGGGTTAGATGGAACCAACGTGTTCCTAGCGTTATCTTTTCCTTTCCTATAAACTGATATTTAATTTCATGTTATGCAATTAATTTGCTTTTAATTCCTAGTTCGATTGTGATCTGGCCAATCTTGAATGAACACATGAATCTTGCATGACAATAGGGATGTTAGTGTAGGATTCTGATCTGATTAATTGTCGGGGTTTGTATGATCTAGGGATAGACTTATGAATCCTATGACTTTATGATTCGTTCTTAATGCTTGCTCTAGGGGAGATCACTAAGGGATTAGGGTTTTGAATAGAGTAAATGATTAAATCAACAAGGGATTGGGGTTTAATTAACATAGAAAGAATCGTCAATAACATGAATTGAATGTTAGTTATCGGAAAGGGTAGACTTGTTAGGAAGACGTTGGGAAAATCGAATCCCTAGCTACGTCTTTATATCATTAATTTCAATCCGTTCTTCACTGCATTCTTGAATCCTTGTTCTTGTTTTTGATCTTGTTAGTTAATTGTTAATTTAAATTTCTGTTTTATTAATTTAAATCATATTCTCAAAACCTTTTCAGGTCGATCCAACTTTGATCGTATAGATACATTATTACTTGATAAATCAATTCTCGTGGGAACGATACTTTACTCTTTACTTTATTACTTGTAAGACCAATATACTTGCCGTGATCGCAACATTCAACTTCATGAGTTTTAATAATTTAATGTGTTTTAATAAAAACCTCTTTGTCCTCTCCCATTCCCAATTTGAAAAAAAAATATCAAGCTTGTGTGACAATAAAGTTATTTTCTCCTTATCATCATCCATAACAAGATATAATACAGTATTTACTTCTAAAACAAATTAACACCATGGCAGTTACTATGTATTTAGCACTTATATCTTCATCCGTAACTTGTAGAACTACAACAGAAGGAAGAAAGGCTTACTAACCTATAGTTGTATGAATATAAAAACAAACAAACTCTGCACAAGTGATTTACCAGAAGTGGGGAAGAAACATTTTATTTATGAGCACAATTCATCAAAATCATAAATGATCATGATTTATCAAAGAGATTAACGAAGCCAATCTTAACTAGTGATCTAGTAGCATGTCTCATAAATAAATAAGCCCATTAAAATACAAAGCATCTAACAACTACACTAAAGAGATACAGATGTCACACAAGTTCTTACCCTGTGGAGGATGTATCCAGTTCTTTCTTTGACAAGGTAATTGTGATCATTGAAACATGGCGAGTAGTCTCCAAACTGAGCAAGTAAAACACAAAATAAAAACAATCAATCCCATACACACAGAAATTAAGTATTTAATGGGGTAGCATCAAAGAAACAAAATCCATACGGAAGAAGGCCTTCTTCTAGCGGTTCCCACACGTCAGTTATATCAGTTGATCCGATTAGAGTGTTTTGATGCAGGTCAACAATCCTTCTCTGAAACAAGTAAACAGATCAGTCACGAAAGATAAACAAATGCAGACTACCAACATATTACATAAAGATCTCTATCCTCCAACCTTGATCAGTTCAGCAATCATTACAGTCTTATTTATAGCACGTCCCATTGCTTTAAGAACAATATCGTCAGATCCTTTCTCCTACAAAAAATACATGTAGAGCAAGAAAAAATGTTAAAAAAATGGCAAAATATTAGTTTAACTCTAGATAAATTGATACTTTCATGTATGGAACACACCAAAAATAATAAAATGGCGAAATCCTAGCACCATTTCAGAAATTTAATGTAAAATGATCAAGTAAACAAAGTAAAAATGGAAATATACAGACAAAAAAGGCCAACAAGGAATTACTAAGAATAAGATAATTATGCCAATCATTAAGATAATTTACAGAATATTTTTTTTTTTTCCACTGAGACTGTGAAAGGAGAAGTTATCAAGTATCACAAACAGTGGATTTTGGGGGATAAGTTTGTTGTATCCTTCAAACCAGAGATGAAAATTTTGGGGAGTATATTCAAAAAAAAAAAACTGTTAAAAAATTCATGCTTTAATTTTTCACCCCTATGGTATATTTGGTGTGGGGCTAATATAGGGAGAAGTCATAAGAGAATAAAGTTATAGAAGGGGGAAAATGGAAGTTTGGCATATACAGTAACAGAAAGTAGTAATTTTTCTGGAAAGGAAAACTTCCCCCTATTTATGGAATAACAAGTCAGGGGAAATTTATTGTCCTCTCTCAACCCCCAAGCTATTATCGCTCTGGCCATCACTCTCTTCATTTGCACATGCTAATCATGCTATTCATTCTATCATCTCTCTAAGGACTATGTTCGCTCTCTCATCACTCTCTAACTCATGTGGCTCTCTTGTTGCTTTTTCTCTCTCTCTCTCTCTCTCGCATCAGACATGTGGATTTACCAGAAAATATTCTTCATTGATTTTGCAAAGTGTTTGTTTTATTACTGGTTTTCTTTAATGATTGAATGGCCAAAGTTCAATTTTATATTTCAATTAGCTAGTTTCAGGTGTATTTGACTCAAGCATCAAATTATGATTGTCTAGAATGAGCTTTTCTTAGTATTTGAATTTGATACTTATTTTCAACTAATGAACAAGATATGTATGTGGTAGGCATCAATTCTTCCGGCCACTCCATTATGTGAACTGTGAAGTGTATAAGATTTTATTTGAGAACCAAACACAATTTTTAAAGGGATGAAGCATAAAAAGTTACTCCAAAGTGAAAAAGAAACTCAAATGATCCGTTAATATCTACTTTTATGTTTAAAGGGACACAGATCCAACAAAAATAAGGCCGTTGACGGTCGCTTATAGGGAAATAGAACAAGCGTTTGTAAATGATACAAATCCCTCTGAATTTCGCCCAATTTTTCTATAAGGGTGTGTTTGGTAGAAGATTTTGTTAAGGATAGCTAGGTAAATGGAAGTGGTATTTTTGGATGTCCATATTTGGTATCATGTTTTAAAAAATTTTGCTAGGGAACTGATACAAACCCATGATCCCATGAATATGTAACTGCATCTCCATGTTTTCTGTATTGTTTAGTTGGGTAGTTATTCTCCATATTGTTTAGTTGGGTAGTTACTTTCCATTATGTTTAGTTGGGTAGTTACTTTTCCATTATGTTTTTACTGTTTATGCTTCAGTTGTAATCTTTATTTAAAGACCCATTATGAATAAAAAGAAACCAGAAAATTGCATCATTTAATTTATTTTTCTCTTTTCCTTAAGCTTATCTTTTTTTCTAAAAAGGAACCTATCATTTGGTGCTCTCGTTGCGTTCACTCTCCTCATCCATGGCTGAAGGAACACGCTTCAGAAAACTTGAAGAAACCCAAGAAATCCATGCCACACAAATCAACAAACTTTTCGAAAACTCTACCCAAGCTCTTTCCCAAATCAACCAACTTCGTGAAACATCCACCAAAACTTCCACACAAATTTCCGACCTTACTAAACAATCCAATCAGACCGTTCACCGCCATAATGAGGTTCAGACTACCCTTACCACTTTAATAGGCCGTATTGATCAACTCATGCATATCACCCCAACCACCAATAAACCAACTCCACCTCCGCCGCCGCCACCACCACCACCACCTCCCCATTTCCCACCTGTCCTTCAACCTAGACCCTTCAAACTTGAATTCCCACGCTTTGATGGAACAAATCCTTCCGGCTGGCTCTTCAAAGCTACACAGTTCTTCGACTTTCATCATACTCCACAACAACAAAAACTCCAGATTGCCTCGTTCCACATGGACGGACCAGCCCTTGCTTGGTTCCAGTGAATGCACTCCAACCACCCCTTCCATGACTGGCACGACTTCATTATGGCACTTGAAGTCCGTTTTGGTGATTCTCCCTACGCTGATCACATGGGATCACTTGCAAAACTCCAATAGACGACTACTGTTCAAGCCTACATCACTGCATATGAGTCCTTAGCAAATCGCATTTCCAGCCTCCCATCAGAGTTCCTACTTCACAACTTTATCTCTGGTCTTAAGCCAACAATCCGAAAAGAGGTACAAGCTCTCCAACCAACAACCATCTTTCAAGCCCAGGGTCTCGCCAAACTCCAAGAAGATAAACTCTCTGACCTCTCATTTGTATCCACTTCACCATCAAATCCCCCACCAGGTGTTCGACGATTAACCGCAGAAGAAATGAAAGTCAGACGAGAACAAGGGCTCTGTTTTAATTGCGATGAACACTTCTCCCGTGGCCATAAGTGCAAAAACTCTTCCACTCTTTTACTCCTTAATGATAATCAACCTGACCCAACATCAAATGACCTTCTCCAATCTTGGGCACATCAAGAACCTTGGGGACAAGGTTCATCTTGATGGAGAGGGGAATGATACAAACCCATGATCCCATGAATATGTAACTGCATCTCCATGTTTTCTGTATTGTTTGGTTGGGTAGTTATTCTCCATATTGTTTAGTTGGGTAGTTACTTTCCATTATGTTTTTAATGTTTATGCTTCAGTTGTAATCTTTATTTAAAGACCCATTATGAATGAAAAGATATTAGAAAATTGCATCATTTAATTTATTTTTCTCTTTTCCTTAAACTTATCCGTTTTGCCAAAAAGAAACTTAGCAGGAACTCATTTGCCTAGTATTTGCTTTTTGTGTGTAAAAAACACTATTGAATAATACCACCTACAAGGTGGTATTTGCTGATAGATGGGAAAATCCAAAAAGGATTGCAAGCAAGTAGACCAAAATGACCCTGATGTTTGGGAAAACTACAGTAAACTAAAACCATATTTTCTCATTTTATTTTAGTCAAGGGTTGTTGTGGTAATTTAACCATATTTTCCCACCTATATTTTACCTTCAACCAAACATAGACTAATAAAATTCTATCCAATTTTCTTGGTAAAATTTTGACGAACCAAACAACTTTTTTTTTAATTTTCCTACCAAACTTTATTTCCCACCATATCCCTAGTAATTACATTTCATTGGTAAAAAAAAATTCTCATCTGCCAAACACCCCCTAAGAGTGCATAAGAGATAAATTTCAACGGTTAAAAAATGCATTAAAGGAGATGATAGGAATATAGTGGTGGTAACCTGAAGGAGAGTGGTGGCGTAGGTGATATAATTCCTCATCCTTCCTTGAGTAGTAATTCGTATCTCGTTCTCATTTATAGGACTCTCTGCTTTCGGCTTCTCCACCCTCTGATACCTATCCATCTGAAACAAACCGCAAAAGCAATTCTAAGAAACAAGACATTAATTACGCATGCTGCCGTTAAGAGAAAATCTCAACTTATATCACACACCGTTGTGTTGTGCGTGGGTAAGATGGAAGCGCGAGTCTGGATGGCTGGCTTTGGGGGATATGCTAATGCTACCACTCTCAAACTCACTCACACTTCTCTCCCTTCTTCTCAGTTGGCAGCGTTTGGGGATATGGCTATGTGATTTGAATTTTAGGCCCCGAAAACAAGCAAAGAGAAGCCCTACACGCGTTGCTTGCGCACGCGCTCTATGTGCTAAAGCAGAGGAATAATGCTGATGAATAGGGCTATGAGGTCGCGGTCTTATCGCCGACGAGCCCGCCAAAGCCACCCTTCCTTCCTTACAATCACCCAATGGGCTTTTTTTATGGGCCTGCCCACCCATCATCTTACTATTTTACATTGAGAATAATAGAAAGAAAAATCTACTGATATATTATAGGGTTTTATAATTCTCATGTTGAAGGAGAATTGAAATCTCATGTTGTAGAGATAAAAAATATGTGGGACCCATGTGTTAGAAAAAATTATATGTAGAACCCATGTCAGCATGAAAATCGAATGGTGTGTAAGAAAATTGTAATTCTCATGTTAAATGAGAATTATAAAATCCTACAACAAATTTCAGTTAATAATGATTTTGTATCAAATATATCTATTTTTTCTTCAAATTCTGGATAATTACTATTAAAAAACAATTATTATGATTAGGAATATAAAGAAATATACCCTGAATCTTATTTATCAAAATGTGATTTTTTGTTCAAATAACTATTAAAAAGTTTTCCAAAAAAAAATATGACTATGTAAGCACCTCCTATTTTTTTTATTAAAAGCAAAGCTAGAAATTTTTCTAATTATAATTATAAGTTAATTAAATAGTTAACGAAATTATATTGAAATATTTTTTGAAAAAAAAAAATGACAATTCGTAGCCTGTGAATACCTAGGGCCCGTTTTGGATGGATTTTCTCTCTCCAGAAGTTGCTTTTTTTTTTTTGTTGAAAATAAACACTTTTCATTTTTAGTTCGTTTAGATGTCTGCTTTTAAAAAAAGCATAAGTCACAAAAAAAGTCAAAAACTTACTTTTTTCTGAAACTAAAAATTTTAACTTCTAAAAAAAGCAGAAGTCAAAAGCCAAATATTTTTTTCAAAATCTAAATATTTTTATAAAAATATAAATAGCTTTAACTTTTGTAAAAAAGACTTCTAAAATAAGGAAGAGATAAAAGTTGCTTTTTTGAAAAATGCAAACAAACGGGCACCTATCAAGTTTAGAAGCTTCTTACCCTTCTCTTAATTTTACAGGAGTTGAAGCAGAACATGGCAAAGCCAACTGATTCAGATCAAATTTGTTTTCAAATGCATCTCAAGCAATACCATGACAGACCGTTATAAAACCATGGTCATTTAGATAGAAGCCTCTTACTTTCCTCAACCTCTACATCTTTTGTAGAAAATTAGAATTCAAACATGTTTCCGTTTTTATTTCCTATTAATTAGGATTGATTATGATTGATTAGGATTGATTATGATTGATTAGGATTAATTGTGATTGATTAGAATTGATTGTGATTAGGATTGTGATAGGATTGATTAGTTATCGCTTAGTCATTCTTAGCGATTCTTTCTTGTATAAATACTCACTCATGTAATTTATTCAATATCAATATACAAAAACTTCTTTTCAATATGGTATCAGAGCGGGTTCGTTCCTACCCTAATTCAAATCTGAAATAACCATCCAAACACTTCCATCACCGTCAAACACCTCCTAAACACCACCTTGAATCTGTCCAACACAGAAACCTAGTTTACTGACCTCCGATCAAAAAAGTGAGGTGACCATTCGACTCAGAAGGATCCGACGAGTCGACCGCCGCTGGACCCATCGCCGTCAGCCGCTGCATGCGCCACCACGCGCCGCCTTCCAGACGTTTTTTTTCCGTCGCGACTTGCACAGACCTTCTCGCCGGCTTCTCCCCTTCCTGTTCCAGAGGTCAGATCAAAAGTTTACAAAACTTGATTTTTCATCAACGGTCAACCCTTCTCTTTTTATTCATGGCTTCCTCAAAACACTCTTTTTATTACCACGAGCAACCTCCTAAGGCCACTAGTCATGTGGTCCAGCAAGGTACAACTTTCCATGTTGATAGTCAAAATCATTGGATCCTTGATTCTGGAGCCTCTGATCATATGACAGGTAATCTTGGCTTGTTTTGTTCATACACTCCATATTCTGAACCTTCTCGGGTCAAGATCGCCGATGGCAGTTTTTCCCAGATTGCGGGACACAGAACCATTAAACTTTCTGAGCTGATTACTTTGACATCAGTTCTTTATGTTCCTTCTCTGACTTGTAATCTCATTTCCATTAGCAAGCTCACCTCTGATTTGCATTGCTTTGCTAAATTCTTTCCACATGGTTGTGTTTTTCAGGAACAGGACTCGGAGAGGATGATTGGCAGTGCTAGAGAGGATGGTGGACTTTACTACTTTGAGGAGGATGTGACTCATGAAGCTGTTTTCGTAGAAAAAAACTCTATGTTTCCTTTTGATTCATGTAATGATGTTATGCTGTGGCATCGTAGGCTAGGTCATCCAAATTTTATTTATCTTCAGAAGTTGTTGCCAAACTTATTTATTAATAAAAGTCCAAGTTTGTTTTCTTGTGATATTTGTCAACTTGCCAAGCATACTCGTGCTCATTATCCTTCTAAAGTTCACCATGACTCTTCCCCATTTTCCTTAATTCATAGCGACATATGGGGTCCAGCCCGTGTTAAAAATATTTCAGGTACTCGATGGTTCATTACCTTCATTGATGACCATTCTCGAGTTTGTTGGGTGTATCTTCTAAAGGATAAGTCCGATGCTGCATCCGTGTTTAAAAAATTTCATGCCATGGTTCAAACCCAATTCCAAGTTGCTATACAAATTCTTCGTACAGATAATGGCAAAGAGTATTTTAACTCTATTCTTGGAGAATATCTTTCCCAACATGGCATCCTTCACCAAAGCTCGTGTCCTGACACACCCCAACAAAACGGAGTTGCGGAAAGAAAAAACCGACATCTCCTTGAAGTTGCTCGGGCTCTTATGTTTACCACGAGTGTTCCTAAATATCTTTGGGGAGAGGCAGTTCTCACTGCCTCGTATCTGATAAATCGAATGCCATCTCGCATTCTGAAATTTCAGTCTCCTCTTTCTAGTCTTGTTCGTATCTTCCCTTCCTTCCGAGGTGTCTCCTCCTTACCTCTCAAGTTATTTGGTTGTGTTGTATTTGTCCATATTCCCTCCCATCAACGGTCTAAGCTTGATCCTAAGTCTCTCCAGTGTGTCTTTATTGGTTATTCTCCTACTCAACGTGGCTATAAGTGTTATTCACCCTCTCTTCGTAAGGTCTTTGTCTCTATGGATGTCACTTTTTCTGAGAATGACCCTTTCTTCCCCTTGACTTCTCTTCAGGGGGAGTCTATAGGAGTAGATGAAGATCAGTCATGGGAACCTATTAATGCCACATTATTACCTCTACTTTTGGAAACAGGGGGAGCTACAGAATCCTCACCATCAGGAGCCTCCTCAAAATGGGGACAAGTTTATAGCAGGCGAAAGCCTCCTCAAAGTGTGAATAACCCAGAGCCTCTACACTGCCAGGATTCTGAACCATGTTCTAGTTCCAGCACCCCAATACTTGAGTGTCATGGTGAAAATGATCTACACTTGCCCATTGCTCTCAGAAAAGGTACTCGATCTTGTACTACTCATCCTATTTCTAATCATATTTCATATGGAAAGTTGTCCCTAGGGTTTCGTGCTTTCAATACTATGTTGGATAGTACAAAGATACCGAGAAATATACATGAGGCTCTCAATGATAAAAAATGGAGGGATGCTGTCTTTGAAGAAATGAATGCTTTAGAAAGAAATGGAACTTGGGAGATAGTGACCCTACCCAAAGGAAAAAAGGCAGTAGGATGCAAATGGGTGTTTACAATAAAATTCAATGCAGATAATAGCATCAACAGATACAAGGCAAGATTGGTTGCAAAGGGTTTCACTCAGACTCATGGGATAGATTATCATGAGACTTTTGCTCCGGTTGCTAAAGTCAATACCATCCGAGTTCTCTTATCTCTTGCTGCCAATCTAGATTGGCCTCTGCAACAGTTAGATGTGAAGAATGCATTCCTAAATGGTGACTTACATGAAGAAGTCTATATGGATCCTCCACCTGGTTTTGAAAGGGGAAATGAATCAGTGTGTAAACTAAAAAAGTCTCTATATGGATTGAAACAGTCTCCCAGAGAATGGTTCGACAAATTCACACAAGCAGTCAAAAGAAGAGGCTTCATTCAAGCACAGACTGATCATACTCTCTTCCACAAACACTCTAAGGATGGTAAAATTGCTATTCTTATTGTATATGTAGATGATATAATTCTTACAGGTGATGATATTGAGGAATTGAACACCTTGAAGAAATTTCTAGCAGCTCAATTTGAACCCAAAGACCTTGGCACTCTCAAATATTTCCTTGGTATGGAAGTTGCTAGGAGCAAAACAGGCATCACTCTAACACAAAAGAAATATGTTCTAGATCTTTTGTTGGAAACAGGAATGTTAGGGTGTAAACCTGCTGAGACACCTGTGGAACCTAATACCAAGTTAGGTATTGAAGATGGGAATGAGGTGGATAAAGAACAATATCAGCGATTGGTTGGTAAACTAATCTACTTATCTCATACGCGTCCTGACATTGCCTTTGCGGTGAGTATGATTAGTCAATTCATGCACTCACCCAAGGAGAAGCATCTTAGTGCAGTCTATAGGGTGCTTAGATACCTCAAGAATACTCCAGGAAGAGGATTATTCTTTAAAAAGGGGTATAAAAGGACAATTGAAATCTACACTGATGCAGATTGGGCAGGCTCATCAGTAGACAGAAGATCTACCTCAGGCTATTGCACCTATGTGTGGGGAAATCTTGTTACTTGGAGAAGCAAAAAGCAAACAGTGGTTGCAAGAAGTAGTGCTGAAGCAGAATTTCGAGCTTTAGCTCATGGAGTTTGTGAAGGAATCTGGTTAAGAAGACTTCTTCAAGAGTTGAAGATTTCATATTCCCTACCAATAAAACTATATTGTGACAACAAGGCAGCTGTTAGCATTGCTCAAAATCCTGTGCATCATGATCGAACAAAGCACGTGGAAGTTGATTGTCACTTCATCAAAGAAAAATTAGATGATGGAAGTGTGCATTTGATATATGTTCCAACCAAAGAGCAAACGGCAGATGTCCTTACCAAGGGCCTACACCGTCCAGCATTCGAAGACTTGATTGGCAAGTTGGGAATGATTAATATTTACCTCCCAACTTGAGGGGAAGTGTAGAAAATTAGAATTCAAACATGTTTCCGTTTTTATTTCCTATTGATTAGGATTGATTATGATTGATTAGAATTAATTGTGATTGATTAGAATTGATTGTGATTAGGATTGTGATAGGATTGATTAGTTATCGCTTAGTCATTCTTAGCGAGTCTTTCTTGTATAAATACTCACTCATGTAATTTATTCAATATCAATATACAAAAACTTCTTTTCAATATCTTTAATCTTACAACTCTTCAATCATGCATTACTCTACATATATATTTTTGCTAAAATGGTTAAAAGCAAAATACATCTTACCACCCTTTGCATCGTACAATTTACTAATTTGTTGTCCAAGACAGTTGAACTAGAGTATAACCATTGCACTCCCATACCATTAGTCTAGTAAACAAGAATATAAACAAAATGAAAGACACGGCACTGTGGTTAAAATACATTTATGAATATCACCAACTACACAGTAAATTTCTGTAATCATACATCTAATAACACAAGTAATCAGTCAAAATTTATAAACTAAAACTCAATTTCTGAAAACTAATGAGAAAAATATGCAGATCATCCTCTTCAAGAGCCACAACGCCTGTAAGCATTTCTTCAAACTTCCCCTTTAAACTTGGCTTCATATATATGAGGTTGCTGCAAAACAAAAACAACTATCATTTGAATTTAACTTGACCCACTAAAAATTTCTTATTCAACTCAAATTTTGTACTAACAATGAGATGTCCGCAAAGTACTTTACAGCAAGACACAATGACTTATGAAGTAAGCGCCCATCAGCTAGTAACTCATGATACTAATACATGTAAGCCATTGCCAGTGAAATATGCAATCTCTATTCTAGCATGATTGAGACTTTCTAGTTCTTACTCTCTTACCACCATCTTTTAGTTGGCTCGCTGCCAAAAAGAAAAAGAAAAGCTAAAATTATAAATTATCTGTTAACAAAATTGATACGTGTCTGGTAACAATGAATTCACAAATATGCACCATCAATGAGAAGATATGCACCCAGTGGACTTCAACTGTTGAGGATCGACGCACTTCACTTGAAAGGCTTAGATTCGATTCCCACACCACCTATCAGCTCAAAGTATTCCCCAAGCTCTTCAAGAGCAAATAGCCAATAAGCTAATCAAGTGTTTATTCTATTAAAAAGCGTATTACAATACATCCCATGAGATCTGCTTAAATCACACTCTCATCCCTTGTTTTATAAATTACATTAACATTGACCTCCCCCGTTTCAAATTCTCATCAAATAATGCCCAGTTTATTTTTATTTTTTCCAGACTAAAACTCTCCTTCCAAGACAAGGGAATGTGTAATTTTCATTATAATTTACTCCCGTTAAATTTGCAAATTTGGAAGACAAGGAACAAAAAGAATCAGTTGGGAACTGAAGATGATAAACGCTCACCATGTAGACAGCAGAAATCAATCTGCGTGCAAACCACCTCATGTGCATTGCACGTTGAGCAGCACTTGCTGCTTCCACCATTTCAAACTGCAAATACACAAAACCTGCACTTCTTCTGTATGCAAGATGAATAGATTAAAAAATGCAAAGTATGCACAAGATGAAAATGGAAAAAAGACAAATAAATTAATAAATAAAAGAGAGAAAGAAGGAAGAAATGAGTATTCATGGGTGAGTGGATACACAAGCATAAACTTACTTGTCAACATAAATATGCTTCACGCGCCCATATTTAGAACACTCTTCTTCTACATCCTCTTTGATGTCTAAATCAAAATCTGGTTCTGTCTGCATATTGTAATATTTAATATCAGTACTTCATTAAATGAAACAGCACACCGGGCAGTGGTAATCAATCAGTTAATCCTAACCTCAGTGGTTGGATCAAACATATTCTTCAACAGTAAACACTCGCTGGGGTTTCCAACAGGTTCAGTCACTGGGGTCGGTATAATTTGTATTGGGAGAGCTGGTGCTGGTATTATACCAGGATTACCAACAGGCAAGCTAATAGCCTGCTGAGCAGGAGCTGACCCATTCACAATGGGTACACCAATGCTGCAGTGTATGGAATATGTTAGGATAATGGGCAAATTTACAAATTATAAGAGGAAAATATATCGACAAACCTTGCAGCAATGCCAGAGCGATCCAGCTTCTGCATAAGCAATGCTCTCGATTGGGCATTTAAGGCCTGTATAGGAAAAAGCACAATACATGAGCAAGAAACTCATTGCTAAGAAGAAAATAGACTAAATGATATAGTTATTAAAAATAAATGGAAAGGGGAAGCAAAAGAAACCAGAGCATTTCCTTAACCACCACCACCCTGCCCCAAATAGGAAAAAAATGCAGATTTTAACTGCATAAAAGGTGAAAGCAGAAAAAATTAAAAACTTAAGATTCTGAACCATATCAGAGAAGAGGGAATGCTGGAAGTACCCATCTATAACCTAAGCCAAGTGGGTCCGGAAAAACAAAACATAATTAATAAGACATCCTTATTATTTGTTTTGTTTGACATCATCATTGCCTTCTCAGCATCTATTTACTCAATTAAAAAAATAGCAAAAATGATTGACACTCGATCGAACTAAAACTTCAATAAACCTATCAATCAAATAGTAACAATCTTGTGGTCAATCTGCAAAGTGCAAATATTTAAAGCTAGAATTATTAGTTACTAAAATAATATTGAAATAAACAAAACTTCCTCCCAATCAAGCCTAACAAGCTGAATAAATAACAATCTGATTAAGTACAAGAGAAGATAACAACTGGAAAGCAGGAATTAACAGACAAATGGAAGAGAGAATCATGCTTTCTTTAGATATAAACGAATGGATGAATTACAGAGAATTCTTCTTCAAGGGACTGTTCCTTTCACTCCCTGGGTCACTACCCAGCCCTCAAACGTTACTCTTTTTCTAACTAACTGCATCAGAATACTGACTCCCTTTATATATACCCCCAACTAATTATTTCTAACATGGGGAATATCCTACGAGAATACACTCTCCAAACAGCAAGCTTGTCCCTATGTGTAACACAATCCACCTAAATAAAATTACTGTATAATGAAATATAGATTTCAATGATACATAGTCCTGTGTAAACCAATTTTTAAAGTTTTATACAAGGGTTCACTTACCAATCCACCTTCATCATCATCAAAGTCAGCTGATTTTGCAGTTGTATCTTGGCTTCCCACATGATCTGTTACAGATGAAACCTGCATTTGATAAACAGCATTAATTACAAACAGAAGGATGAGCAAATTGAAAAACAGAACCACACAGGAACACTTCTACCTTGATAATCCTGCCAGCAATTTCCAATTTTCCATTTAAACTCTGAGCAGCCTTGGCATGCTCAAGATGGGAAAACTGTCCAAGAATTAATATATAAGAGAGATAAGTAACAGTACTTTCACTGGAAACAACATTTTTCAAAGTCAAGTGTTAGTGACGAACTTGAATAAACCCAAATCCCTTGCACTGTCCGGTCTCCAGGTCAAGAGGCAGTTGTACAAGATCCACTGGACCAAATGGCTCAAAAATCTAAAGGGAAAAAAAATTGAAAGCCCATAAATGACAAATTGTCAAATCAAGATTCTAATTAGTGAAAGCCTGACAACAGACAAGATGCACTAAACCAGTTTAGAGGGAAACTACAAAGTTGTTCTTAAGGGAAAATATATTTCTATGAAATTATTAGTTGGCTCTCTGCATTCATTATCCTGATGATGGCTGGCAATGACAAAAAAATCACATCAAACATATTAACCAGACAGCAAAAACCAAATACCTCTCTCAACTGACTCTCAGTCATGTTGAAGTGAAGGTTCCCCACATACAGTTTTCTGTCCACAGCTCCATATGGTCCTGCTACACCAGCAGCTCCACTTGTGGTATTAGATTGAACAAGGTTCTTTTCAGCCTCAGAAGGCTTGACCATTACAGGTTGTCCAAGAAGAAGTTGGCCAGAGAGAGCAATTGCCATTGGCACTGACATTGCATCATAAAATTCAATATACCTGCAGCCTCATCAAGAACTTGCATCAAGGTTTTAGAATTACAAAATACAAACAGTTGCAACCAAAACTTACAAAGCATACAGCAAAGAGATGTAGGGAAACAAAAACTCTAGTGCAGACAGCTCAAGCTGAGAGTATCTTTTGATGTATCTGACTCATGTAAAGAAATTGTTAGCCTCACATAATAAAAATACAGAACCAAAGCATATATTTTAACCAAGAGAGAATAAGAGAAGACCATATGAGAAAGGACAGGCCATAGGGAACAACCAAGACAGGGAGGATTAGGTAACTAGAAACTAATCTTCACTTATGTATGTGCATGTGAGCAAATCAAATCCTAAGGGAACCCAACTTCAAGCTGGCCTAGTACTGCAACTCATTGTCTGTCAGACAATTCTAAAAGCCAAACAGCACCAAATCCACATGTATCTCATCTAGACACCCAATGGCCATTCCCCCCAACTCAAAAATAAAGGAGGGGAAAAAAGAGAAAAAGGAATGCAGAAGAAAATTTCCACCCATCAGCCTTATCAAGAAACACCCCATATCCAGTTCAGAGTAACAAGAAATGAAAAGAGTCAACAGCATAAGAAAGAAATTCTCACTGTATGTGTATGGCAAACGTAGAGGAAGAAAATTGGGAAAGGACCAAAAAGAAAACCAGGATTATGTCATCTACCTTGAGTACGCAGCATGAATTGATTAAACATGAGTGCAAGGTATTCCCATCATCCCTCATCATTATCGCATTGCTAGTTCATTTAAGAATACAGTTAAACATGATTCTTGAAAGTTGATATCCTAATACCAGAATCGCACATGCATAGGAAGAATAAATTATTTTAAAAGAAAGTTCATACCCAACTCCTTTAGATCGTCTTGAGTTTCTATCCATGATCAGACGGACATCCCTCACCTGAAAATAAGGAACATTAGAAATTTAGAAGTAAATAGAATTGAGGAATTATCTCGATAGAGGTCACGAAGAGACAAAACAGTCAATCCGAGCATGCAAACAACTACATCCCAAAGGTTCAAAATATTCATATAACCTCTTATTCACTCACCACACATTTACAGAATGTTAAGGCTCAACAATTGAGCACAATAAAGTCACTAAATAAACTACTCGAAACTGAAGCCTGCAAAGAATATTGATTGTTATCACTCTCAATCACGTATTATGCAATACCATACACTAATATATAAAAGTAACTAGGAAGATATACCAAAGGTTCCAAACTTCCAATGGCAACAGAAATCATAGCAGTTGTAAAATAGTAAAACAAGATAGAAATTAACCTAGAAAATCGCACCAAACTGAATGTAAAAATTAAAATCAACTGACCTTGCCAGCTTTTGAGAAGAATTCATAAACATCCCTCTCCATTGCCTTCAAGGGCATCTGTAATCATAACACAGCAAAATGGCAATCATCAGAAGAGGATGACATATACCATAATATATCAAACCTTATTTAGAGTAACAAAAAGGGCCAACCAACCTGGTAGGCAAAAACAGTTCTCTGATCCCTTTCTGGATCTGCCTCAGGCTCCACAGCCTCTTTCTTTTCCCTATATCTCCTGCAATTCAAATTAAAATTCAGCCACAAGAAAATATGTATAGGAAAGTTCATCAAATTTGAACCTGATATTCAGATTGTATAATTTGTAGTGAAAAAGCAAACGTACATTGATAATATAAGAGTCCAAAACAGCACCTAATCTTGAGAGGGATTAATGTCTCAAACTCTTAACTGTAGCCATTATTACAAAGTATATTGTTAATATAAGAGTACAAATGTAGCATTTAATCCTATAATATCCATACACAGGGTCCTACCGCTTAAAAGACAATGTGTCAACCCAGCTAGTTGTGTAACTCAATACTTATCCCTGAACGAGAGAACCAATACTTACACTAGTGATGATATGAAAAAGATCTACATCTACGTCAGGAAATGAAGGCATGTGAAGGCCTCACTCAGATGATACATACAACGAGCAAAAATGAATAAAACTGATCCACAAAAAATATGTCAATCTCTATTTCGGTATACAAAAAAGTTTTTGGGTACTTTCTTAAACCAAATAGAGCTATCAGTTCCCTATCCCACCACCTCCATTTAAAAGAAAAAACAGATTGTGTAAAACATCAAGAGGATGCAACCAACATGGAAAATACGCATGACCTTAAACACACCACCATGGACAACATTAAAAAATAAATAAAAAGGAGTTCTCAAAACGATGCTTGACTAGTAGCCGAGGGACAACAACAGATTGAGTTAGACAACTGAGAAAAACACATCCCGCCAGCAGAAAAGAAAGCATCATAAACAACATCATTAATGAACACTTAATTTTATTTTTTGTTTTTTTTGTCTTTTGCCATACATATGAGCATTTCCTTCACACACGTAACTAATACCATAAAAAAAGATATAACAGAATGTAGAAAATCAGCTGTGTAAACAATCTGCCAGGTCATTTCTAAAGGTATGCTTGTCCAAAATTGTATTAAAGAATTGAATAACCAGGGAGCAATAGGAACCGGGATAAGCCGAGCAAATTTAGAAAGTGACAAAACTCGTTCGCATTAAGTATACGCTTCAAGTCGAATTTAGTTAACACATAGATGATAAATAACACATTTGTTCATTTATCAATCAAATTAACCACTTACCAAAGAACCACATAGCTCAGGTAAATAATACAAATCACTTGTACGACTAATGATTGACCCAAAATTGAACAAAAAAGCAAAAACAGAAGAAGGAAGATTAAGTTGAGGGAAAGTGCATTACCGGCCATCTCTCATTTCGAAATCTCGTTCTCTCTCTCTGTCTCGCTCAGAACGACTCCTGCTCCTCCTGGACCTCTCTATCTCTTCCCTTTCTCTCTCCTTTCTCTCTCTGTCTCTGTCCCTTTCTCTCTTCTCCCTCTCTTTGTCCCTGTCTCTCCTATCCTTCTCTTTGTCTCTGTCTCTGTCTCTGTCCCTGTCTCTATCTCTGTCCCTGCTACTCCTCTCACCTCTTTCCCTGTCTCTGCTACTCCTATGGCGCTCCTTGTCGCGATCATCACGATTCTTATCCTTCTTGGAGCCATTCTCGTCGTCGCCCCTTGACCTCTTGCTCCTCTTGTCTTCGGCGACATCGTCCACCTCATCGCGCTTCCTGTAGCTCCTTTCGCTCTTGTCGCTGCTCTCCTTCTTCTTCCTCGTCGAGTCTCTCTCTTCTTGCTCCTCCACTGTCTTCTCCAAGTAATCGTACTCGTCGAACTCCATTGCTTCTTCTCTAAATTTCAATCTCTGACTCTTAGATTCTGAAATTCTAGGGTTTTCGGGGTTTTCAGTTCAGATAGGAAAGGAACTGGTCTTGTTACTTCGTCCGGTATCTATAATCTATTAGCTTAAATATTGCCCGAAAAAAAAAATAAGTTAAAGAACTGGAAATTGAAATAAATACGTTATTTATAGCCTTACCCTTTATAATTCGGAACCTTTTTTTATCTTTTTAAACATTAAAAAACAATCAAGTGAAAGTTTCCTTCACCTGCTTTTCACTTCAATTTATCTCTTGTCACGAAATTAAAGTTGTTAATAATGGTTTAATTTTCATTGATTATGTTTAAATTTCTAATATATATTTAACAGAAAAATATTTCTGCATTACTGCAGATAAATCATCTGTATTTACTCTCAAAACGATGAATTCTATATTTATACCTCTTCCTAAAGGTGAAAATTAATAAAAAGAACTTAAATATAATTTTTAAATAGAAATATCAATGTAATCTAGATAAACGTAGGAGTATTTAAATGTAATTTGATAAGGTTTGATGTTTCTCATTACCAAATAAAAATATCTTCAACATACATAAAAATATATAAAATTCATAAAAAATCATGTAAAAAAAGAGAAAGAAAATATGAACTCTACATATTTTTATTTATATATAAAAAATGATTTTATATAAATAACATGAAAAAATTAAATCCAATTTGATATTTCTATTAGAAAAATTAAGTGATTATCAAAATCCATTTTAAAAACACTTTTAGTAATTTATTAAATGATTTGTTAAATAAGCTAAACAAACTATAGAATTTTGTGTCAGAAGAAGTTCTGCATAATTAAAAATAAATAAATTTAAAATGGAAATGTATTGACATCTCAAAATAATGTCGTGATGTTATTTATTTACTTCATCTATTTTATTTTGTCACAGTAACTAACTCTTTGGATTTGGTTCTACTTCACGTGAAATAAAATGAAATGAGCTAAAATGACTAATGAATGACCAAAAGACATGTAGCCCTTCAAACATATATTCGCATGTGTCAGACTTTGGGGATGGGTGGAAAGAGAGAAGTAGAATCCAAAAGAAGGAAATGTTAAGATTATAAAAATTACATTATCACATGGTATCTTACTCTCGTTTAAACATAGAAGGGAAACTGTAAATACTAAACAACAATTTTCGTATACAAATTCCATCATAAGGCGGTTCAGACTATAGTTTCCATCACCACACGAATCAGATTCTGTTTTGCGGCCACATAACCGAGATATCAACTGCACGTCCATTCCTTTAACCAAATCTGTTCAAAGAGATTCTCTCCTTTAACCAATTCTGTTCAAAGAGATTCTCTCGCTCGGCCGAGCAACCCTTTCCATTGGAGATATCAACTGTGGCATAGTCATTCCCCCAGAAACAATGATTTCTGCATCAGCATCAACACAAATGTCACACCATTGAATTAAAAAATAAAAAATTATGCAAACATTAGTTTAAGAATTTCCACATCCAGAAAAAGTCATATTACAAAATTCATGAGGTTAAAAGAACATCATATACCAACAATTTTTTCTCCATAAACATTGTCGAACACCACGCACATGCACAAAATATACTTGACAATTAATCAACGAAAAGAGAACCTACCTATGCCTTCTCGAATAGAAAGATTTGGTCTTATAATCTCTTTGGAGTTAACCAAAAATATATCGCCAATATACAGATGGTTTGTAGGGACAAAAACACTACATAGCTCTTCATCTTCATCATCTTTCTGGGATGGACGAAAAAGGATAACATTAAAGGCTAAATATATAAAACAAAACAGAGAAATTAGTAGTTTCCTCAGAAAATAACACAAAATTCATCGGAAAATACACATATAATGAGATTATCACAGAGCTCTTTTCGGATGAAAATGATAAAACTGCAAGCCCCTAATTTTAGACAATAAATTAACTCTGGAAAGATTATGATAAAGCATTATTAACTTCAGGGAGGTACTGAATAATCTTGAGACAGGACACGTGTTACATTTATATGCTGCTTCAAATCACTCACTCTCTCTCACACACACACAAACATATAAATTGTATGCACTTGGGTATTTGTCCGCGTAGGAAGTATGGGGATTAAAGATTAGAACCATATTTTACATAAGTATATTTGCTTCTCTTGAAATGTTACATTAATTGAGATTATTCAACTGTGATCTAATGATGGTGAATTCCTCACACTCCTGATGGATCACATCGCTCTATATGTGATGATACTGATATGTGTCTGTGTTCCAGCACCATAGATATATTGTCAAGTCAAAGCATTATAAACAATACAAACTGATGACGTTTACTGGTTAACAAAATAAAAAATAAAAAACAAAAAAGAGGAACCCTCACATATGTTCAATTGATATAAATATGAGGAGGTTGGTAGATTTATAGAGAGACAGTTCAGGGTACCTGTAGAGTAACAGATGATGTAATAAAGCCAAAAGCATATTCACCGACACGTGGGTGACGAATAATTGCTACTTCTTTAAAGGCAGTGGTATTTTGATCTGTAAAAATAGAAAAATTCATGACAAATTATTGCATCCTTGTCACCAATATTTGAAATGGTCAATCTATCAACTAACAACGATATAGGATAGTCATAATTCACTGATTTGCAAGGCACATAAGCTTAAAAGAAAAAGCTGACGGTTTTAATAATAAGGAAAAACTATTTGAAGTGCATGCCTTCAATTTCAATCCATACAACTAATCCTTTTTACCACACCATATGACGCAACTTGACAAAGCTAATAAAATCTATTAAAAACAGAAATATTTTGTCCCAGCCTTACACTTCAAACACACTACTCTAGACTTGTTTGATGCTATTAGCGCCAGGCATTCTATTTTAATAATCAATAAAGTAAATTCAATACATGTATTCATTTAGTTTAGTTAATTTATATCAATATATTATCAACACTACTGTTAGAGATATATAAAACCATTAAAGTAGTTTCACCTAATAGCTTAAGCTTTTGGGTTGGATTGGTTCTTTACATGGTATCAGAGTCTCAGTGACCAAGAGGTCACGAGTTCAATCCTCGCCACCCCATTCTATAAATAAAAATAATTAAATATTGTGGAGTTTCTTAGCACAGGTAAGCTGAGTCTAATGCATCATCCACCCTTCAAGCCCGATGGGCTTTCGTCTGAGGGAGCGTATTAGAGATATATAAAACCATTAAAGTAGCCTCACCTAACGGCTTAAACTTTTGAGTTGGATTCGTTCTTTACAACTACCAATTTTACTACAACCACCATCACCATACCATCGGTCCATTAACCATTAATATTACAAATCCCTTACCACAATCACAGCCATGACATCACCACTGCCACAACTATCATCATTCAACCCTCCTTAGCTTTACAACTAGAGAATGCCAAAACCGACCTAGATTTGTTATTTCTTATATTACGTGTTCTTTTCCATCTTCATCATATCAATAAAGAGAAATGCAATTTAGTACGAATTGTTTAATACGAAAATTGACGAATTCAAACTGATCAATCAGTTTGTCCCATAACCATACATCAGAGGGAGGGGATGAAAGACAATTTGTATCATAACTCTGACATGTCAATTCCAATCGAATGTCTTTTGTAAACAACTTTTGTACTCGATAGCATTTTCCACGGCTAAAATGTATTGTGACATATTAAATCATCAGTCATAATAGATAATCTTTAAATGCTTAAGCCCTTAGCCATTATCAAATTAATACCAAAAACGTACAATAGCAGTGCATAAATAAAATTGATACAGTATCACATATTCTTTTAACGAGGATTAACATCCTTCAGCAGTACGAAAGATTTCCAATAAAAGTTGTTCATCAGTAAACATATATCCTAAGTGATATTTTCTAGTGAGTTCCTTGTATAATAAATCCAAGGAACATACATGATATAAGTAGTGTAAAGAAGACACCGTCAAAGAAAAGAAAAAGAAAAAAAAAGAGAGGATGTTTTTCATTTTGCCATAAAAAATATTCAAAAAGGAGCTCTTTTCCTATCGTAGCATCACTAGCTACCCAACCTATATGTAGCATAACTGCTCGTCTCTATGCGAATTCAGAACCAATTACCTAAGTGATGATTTTCTTTGGCTAAATTTTAATTCGACTATGCCATTTTGAAGAGCATACCTGGAGATATTGCAGCACTAATCTGCTTGGATGCAGAGTATATATGCCTAACAAGGGGCATTTGCTTTATTATCCATTCTCCAATCCAGAACACAGTGGCACCCATCCATGATGAAACAAAAACACCAATAAGAAATACAAAAGCTAACGTTGTAACAAAACCAAGTCCTGCACCACAAACCAAAATCCTTCAAACTTTTAATACATCACATCCAGAATAAAGAGTAAGAGATCAAGTACCAAGGTCCAGATCACCAGGTTGGGAGATTCAAAAATATAGAAACAAAGAATAAACAAGGGGTTTCCACAACTATATTATGTGTGTGTTGATAGAAATGAAATTTATTAGAGAAAAAACCAGAGAAGTACAAGAAAGTGGAGGATAAGATATCCTGTAAAACAATTAGAATATAATTCAAAAACAATATTCCCAGCTTAGCTGGTAAACTCTGATAAGAAACAATAATGCCTTCCTACTCAATTGATAAAACAATAGAGTAACCTATTATCTTTGTATTTACAAGTTTATGCACTATTTTCATTTACTCTGCTTTTTATAGTTTAAATATACAACATCTAGAACAACGAAAAATTCCCCTCATTTGTAACTTCGCAGGAGGGAAAATACAATCATCGAAGCCTTGTTAATTGAAGACAAAATAAATTACTCACCAAAGATGTCAAAGCCAAGCCTGGAGTATATTGGACTAAAGAAACCATCAACAAACTGAATAAACCACCAAGTGATAAAAAAGGTAACTGCAACCGGAAAAAGAACTACGCTGCAAATTCAAAATTAAATTAATAATCAGGCCAATGATAATGATAACAATTGGTCATCTCGATAAGTAGTTTAGTCCATTACCATCCAGTCATAAATTTCTTGGAGACCCAACTCTGGAGAACAAAGCAGCAAGCCTGAAAACAAATGGACATAATGAGTCAATAGCGAGACAAAAATAGACTATCTCTTGAAACAATATGAAACTCTGCAACCTTTATATCACACCAAACAGATGCGCATTAGGTAATCATCGAGTTCCTGCAAACTTCATCGTTTTGAAGTTCTTATCATAAAAAGAAGATGATTATTTTTGTTTGACGAATGGTTCACAGTCACACTGAATCAGCATTGAATTCCCACATCCACCAGTCATGTGGCCATTTCCTGGAGCACATATAATGAGGACAAGGGGGGAACGGGCTTCAATTATGATCATGTTTCAATTTCTAATGATTTTATCCAATTTTTTCATATGAATTATTTTCACAATTCTATTTAGTTATTTTAGGTGAGGACATTTAAGGACAACAAAGCAAGGAGCAAGCAAAATCACCAACATCCTCGCAGCAAATTAGAGAACGAACTTCATGACCATGAACCAAGTTAGTTTCTTTACAAAGGATATAGTTACTGTGTTGGTCTTACTCAAAGTTGTAATGTCAATGTCATAAGAGGAAATGCAGAGAACATGAACGAATCTTGCACAAAAAATAAATTAAAATCATTATTATTCATCATTCAGGTGATAAGATGATATTTTAAGAAATGTAGTTATCCCTCGTTAATTTCGAATGTAGGCTCTCCTGAATAATATCCGTGACAAGTTCTCAAAGCTAAGATTTGAATGGTTTGTTTCAACCAAGATAGGGGCTTCTTATTATTATTATTATCTTAAATAAAATCTATCACTCGTCAAATGCTGAAAATGCAGATCCAATGTGATTAATTACAAAACATCAGATTTTGGGTACAAGTATCTTTCTAATTTCATTATGATCATAGGCACAATCTTCAACGACCTAAACCAATTATCTCAATCCGTCGTAGCCGGAACAAGAATCTATTTCTTAACCTATAAAATTATATTTCTGAATTTCAGCTACAAGACTCTTTTGACTTAGCGATAATCCACCAAAAAATAAAAATTAATAACACAAGAAGAAAGATCCAACAACTCAGCCCAAATTTGAAGGGTAAAAAAATAAGAGAAAAAATTTAAAAAGAAAAAAAGGTAAAAAAAAAAGAGAGTAATTAAGTGAAATGTATGATATGATATATAGGGAAAAAGAATGAAAAGCGGACCCTGCGAGTAGAGGAATTGGGAGAGGTTGGGGGAGACTTGGCTGGATCTTCGGGATCTTCACAAGAGGCATTGTCAGATTGACTCAGAGGAATTGACGTTGATTCTTTTTCTTCTGCCATCTTCACTCTTCACGCACTTCCGTTTCTGACGATAACAATACCAATCATCGAAGCTTGATTTCGCTTCCTATTCCTATATTATTGTCTTGGATACTAAGCAACACTCACTGGCCTCACCGCTTCAATCGCATCCCCAAGAATCAGAAGAAATGTTAACGTCACCACCACTCACCACTGACGTGGCTATTTCTCTAGGTTTTGTTTTTTTATTTATTTTTTTTTTATTTTTATTTCATTTTCTTGTTGATTTTTTTTTTTTTTTTTTTTTGTAATAATTTTCTTGTTGACTTTACTTTATTATTACATCTCTTTCGATCTTCATCAGGACCGCATGGTATCTAGTATCTACTGAGGGAGTTGTTTATCACAATGTTTTAAAATTGTCTCGGTCATTGATATTGAATCATATGGGTAATTATATAGGTAAGGTTTATTTTTTTTAAATAAATTATCTACATTGAGCTTAAAATAATATCGTTTTGAGATGAAAATCAAGATATTTTTATAATTATAATTTATTTCAGGATTATAATCATCTTTCTTATTATAATTTTTTAATTTTTCAATACAAAACGATGTCGTTCTGAGAGTGAATATAGATAACTTATCTACATTCACTATAGAAACATTAAAGCTTATATGTAAATTTATAATTTATATTAAAAAAAATTAGTTTTTTTCTAAAGTTACTTTAGAAAAATTTATCTAATGTTCATCAAAATGACGTCGTTTTGTGGTGAAAATCATAGTGTGTTTGTAATTTTAATTTATTTCATGGTTATAATAGTCTTTATCATTCTAAATTTTTAATTTTTTCAACCGCAAAACTACGTCGTTTCGGTGAACATTAAATAAATTTTTTCAAAGTAACTTTATAAACTTTTTTCTCTTGAAAAAATTATAAACATACTCAAATTGTTGAAAAAAATAATATAAATTCTAAATATTTTAATATAAAAAATAATAAATTACACATTATTATCCAATAAAGGATTAAATAAACATATAATGCTTGTGATACTGGTATTTCAGGTTTAGTGAACGACATCTCTAATTATAAATCTAATCAAAATTCCATGCATAGTGCATAACTGAGATAATATTAGTATTGTAGGTATGTAACATTTGTAAGTCAATAAGTAACAGATCACTCAAATATGTCAATTATGATTTATTTTTTGTAAACCAGGTCACCAATTTTCACCAAAATCAATCGGGTCACATCGGGTCTAATGCATGGCCGATATATTACTTCACCTGGACCGATTATATGACCGGTTCATCGGTTCCCGAGTCGACCCAGCCGATCCGGTCCAGATTTATTAATGGTTTGTAATATGATTTTTATATTTCTTTTTTATTTAAAAATATTTATTTTATAACCGTTTAATTTTTTATTATATGTTGTAATACATTTTTTTAGCAACAAGTTTTCACATGATAGTATTTTTCAAGGTCATTTTAATGTTAAGAATATTTGTATTATAATGCGATTTTTTATAAATTATTAATTAGAAAACTTAATCCATTTTATTTTTATTAGAGAAATTACAGTCAATTAACTTAAAATAAAAGTTAAAACATTCGGTACTCCTTTTGATTTATGCATCACAGTTCCCTCTTTATTTAAATAAAAAAACATTGGCCTTTTTTATCTATTAGATCAAATTTATTAGCTATTCTCATAATTAAAAAGAAAAGTTGGGTCCACACCAAAAAAAAAAAAAAAAGTTGGGTAAAGAAAAAGTGAAATAATTACAAAAAAAAAAACTCAACCATCTTAATTCTCGTGCTTATTTTTCTTCTTATCAAATCCCTCCTTGGTATTATTATTCAAATCCCTCCTTGCTATTATTATTCATCACATGACACTTTACAATGTCTTCTTCGTTATATATTTTAGAGTAAACATCTTTTTTGGTCCCTGTAAATATCTATAAAATTCTTTTTAGTCTCTGACAATAATAAAAGACCAAATTAGTCCCTAACAGTATGTAAAAAGGGCTACGTTAGTGATGGGAGAGTTGACGTAAGGACTAATGTGGCACTTTTTTCATAATTTTAGGGACCAATTTGGTCCTTTTTTATTGCCAGGGACTAAAAAGAATTTCGTAGATATTGTCAGGGACCAAAAAAGGTGTTTACTCTATATTTTATATACTATCTCTTCGTAACAAAAGCAAACACTTTAAGCATCATCTAGTCTCCCTTCAACGAATTTTCTTTATTTTTTATTTTTCCAATTTCAATTTAAGCCCAGCAAGTTAGGCTCAATCTTAATAACTCACATCTAGAATCTCTTAAAGTGCACCTCGTAATTAGTCATAGAGGCTCATCACAAGAAATTCCCCTTATCCTTGCATTATTGTCCACTGTGCACTGACACTCGGCGCAACATGCCTTGTCTTATAGACAAGGCTTGTCACAGGTGGTACAACTATGGTCTCACTCCTCATTCTCTATCCCACACTTGGGAGTGACCTCTCCTCTTTAAATACTCTCTACTCCTATTGAAAGGACATTATCTCTTATATTTATTTTATGAGTTATTACTCTCCAAACATATTGAGCCATCATAGCCATTTACACACTCCTCATTTTAAGTCATAATATATGGGAAACTCAACAGAGCCTTGGACTATACCATTGCTACTAAGAGTACCCCTAAAAGTGACGTACTTCACCCCTTGAGCGATATACATCTTTGGCTTTACGCATACAAACATCAAATAGTTCATTGGCGTTGTATGTGCGAATATGTAGATTCTTATTCTCATCCAAACGTGGTAATAGCATTATACTCATTCTAATAAATGAGAACCAGAGTTTTCTCGTCTCTGTTTCCAAAACATCATGTACCTCTGCATAAGAATGGGGATCTGAATCCCAAAATGAATAGAGCCATATGTTTTGATTTTTCAATATGCCCACAATGGATTTTCAAATATCTTATATTTCAACTTTCAAGTGGATGATTGAAAACATTCTTGCCCTTGTTTCACATGTGCTTTACTTTTCGGTTGCATCATTAGTGGGATGAGATTCATGAAGCGAAGTCGAAAGAAACCTTAGTGTTCTGCCCTAGGCAGATGTGTCCAATTAGGATTGGATGATTGATCTATGATTCAGGTGTCTTCTCTGGATACCTATGAGTTAGGTATCTTGAGGACAACAGATCACACACTATCTGATGGCCTTAGCCTTGGGGAAAGTGTGTGTGTGTGTACTATCTAGGCTACGTAAATAGGTAAAAAGAGATTAGGTCATACCTGTGGCGTTTAGCTCCTATTTATAATGCTTACTCGTGGGCCTGTGCTGATCATGGGCCTTACTGACCATGGGCCTCATTCTGGTCCATAACAGTTGCCCCCCAGCCCGGTATGCTGAGCCTTTAGGATGCCGGGGTGCCATGTCGAGTAGACAGAGCCTCCAGGATACCGGGGTAAAGGGTGTCGTGCCGAGTTCCTTTCTACCGCAGCAAATCCTCCTTTTGCAGGCAATCATTACAACCCTCCACGTGGCCCTCTCATATCTACGGGACGTGTGCCACTACGCCTGCTCGAGCCGCTGGTATTTATTGCAACTGCCTCAGCGTCCTTTCAATTGTCTTTCCTTACGAAGTTACCCTTTTACCCCTGACCTTTGGTTTTCGCGAGTTTCATCTATTTGATTTGCGCTTCTCATTTTCTTATTTCCTTACTTGCTGCATTACGCTTAGAGACTTCCTTCAACATTTCCTGTATTTCGTTCTAAAAGACTTCCTTCAGTCCATCAGCTTCTCGTCGTTTGCCAACTCTCGCAACCTTCACTTGCATCAGGTATGCGCTTCAACCTATTTTGTTTTTCTCTTGCTTTGATTTTCCTCTTGCTCGAATGTATGTTCGACAGGGACGCATTTTCTGTCTCTGGGTATTCTTGTTTTAGCTATGCATACTTAGGCACACACCCTTTAGAATACTTTGCTTGTTAATGTAATGTTCTTCCTTGGGTACTTGACTGTGGGTTGCCTTGTTCTTCCCTTAATAGCATGAACGGAGGGAACTTGCACGGTAGAGGGACGTCCACTTGTCCTTGTGTTTTTGGCCGTAGTGATGAGATTCTACTGGAGGATGAAGAACAAGCCACATGGGAGGAGGAGAGATACGTCCAGAGCCTCTCCCCTGGCGCGAGGTTTTGGTTGTATGGAATACCTCGGACCCAGGACGAAACGCAAGCTGCCCTACTTAGGAGCTATCGCGGCAGTAGAGGCGGAGGAAGTTCTTCATCTCGTCCTCCCACACGAGGACGCCGTCAACGATCTGGTCGTATCCCGGTTGTTCCATCCCGACGTTCCAACCCAAATCTAGGTAGAGGCTTAGGTTCCGCCAATTCGGCTTCTAACCCGGCTTCAAGCCTCACCCGGGTTCAAGTTCCTGTTCAGTCTGAAACCATTACCCCAGGCGCTAAGAACATAGATCCGTGTTTTAACTGTGTCTATCTTAGCAGCCAATTTATTGAGAGAGGGAACGACTTTATGGCCGATGCGGTGCTAGGAAGTTGCACCCATTATCCCGGCGTTCCAGATCATGCCTCTGCTTCCTTGTCTTCTTCTGATGATCCGTCTGACTCTTCTTATGCTAGTTTGTTTAGCTCAGGTGCGTACACTTTTTGTCACGTACTGTTTCTATTTTTAATCCCCCACTTTTGTTGTTCTAGGTTTTGATGGAGTCCCCTTCTGCAGAAATTGCCCCTGAAATGACCTCGTCAAGTCATGGTCGAGAAGCCGACGCCAGCCCTGCCGAGCAAGGCTCTTTTGCCGTTGATACAACTCTTCGTAAGCAGTTTCCCTGGGTGACCGAGGAGGTGCTTAGCTTCCGGTCATACATGACGACTGAGGAGATATCCGGGCTTCCCATAGGCAACCCAGTGGGATTTGATACTTTCTGCCCTGCCGAAGACGAACCCGTCTGCTCGGGCCGGAATCCCGAAGAACCTCCGTTTTTCTTCTGCTATCGTGACTTAATCACCAAAATTGGTATTCGCTTTCCTTTTTCCGCCTTCAAAATTCAACTACTGAATCACCTTCACTTTTCCCCCACACAAATTCATCCCAATGGTTGGGCTTATATTGTTGCCTTCGAACAATTATGCACTTCGTTGTCTGTATCAAGCACCGTGCCCCTTTTCTTTTATTTTTTTAATATATACACTCCCCGAACCGGGTCCGAACCTGCTGAGCTCAAGGGGTGGACCAGCATCCGGGGTCATGGAGGAAAGAAGCCGGAGTCTAGAAGATTGTTTTCAATATACAATGACTCCTTTAAAGACTTTAAAGGTGCATTTTTTAAAGTCGTTGCCGAGGTCGGTGCTAAGCCGTGGTTTCTCCATGAGAATGGGGAAGGGAAATTCCCCTTGTACTGGTCATATGATCACCATTTGCGGAAGCCGGGAGATTACCGGCTGGGGTTGTCAGCGGAGGAAAAGGCACACGCGAAGGCTTTCCTGGCTCACATCGGGGCTCAAGGGCATCTGAGCGCTGCTTCCTTAGTGGCAAAGTCTACAGCCGACCTTCCCCAAACTAGTATGGATTTATGCGTACATGTTCACATTTTGCATTGTAATTATGTTACTTACTAACCTCGGCTTGCGTTTTCCTGTGTGCAGGTTCCGAAATGAATCCTTCCATGGACAAGGTTCCAGACTACGTTCTGGCCCGGCGAGGGAAGTCTTCCGCTCGGACTCAATCCCATGCCCTGAAACGACCACGGACCACTAGTCCTTCTGCTGGGACGAGTAATGTTCCTCCAGCGACAACCGTCGTCTTCGTGATGGATTTAACCAGTGATGATAGCTGGCTGGATGTTGGGAATTACCAGACATCCGCCCCCGCAGGGTCAACTGGGGTTGCCGGGGTTGTGACATCTATGGAGCATGGTAGTCCGGCTCCCGCACCCCTTCCTGCCGGTCTCAAGAGAGGCGCTCTGTGGGCAACCGGAGTGGCGACAAAATTGCGCGGAGTGACTCGTCCATCGCCGGAATTTTACGGGACCGGCATTTTGTCAAAGGCCCAAGTGAAAGAGCTGGAGATGGCTGAACTGTACACTTACAAAGCGGCCTCTTTGGTGAAACCGTATTCGGTTCTGCTGGAGAAGCATTCCGAGCTTCATGCTGAAAAGGATGCCCTCCAGACCGACAGAGATACCCTCCGAGCTGAGCACGACAAGCTGGTTGAGGATAATAAGAATTTGACAATATCCGTTGCTGCTTCAGCAGCGTCTTTGGAGCAATACCAGGCTGACATGAAGCTTATTTCGGACTCCTTCAGCCTTCAGGCAGATAAAGAGGCCATTATAAACTTTGTCAAAGGAAAACTGTCGTCACTATCCGAATTGGAGAGGAACAACGCTGCTTTGAATCAGCAGGTCCAGAAGCTGGAGACTGATGTCAAGAATTTGCAAGCTGATTATGACAATAGTCAATCCGTGCTGGAGAATGCTGTTGAAACTGCGTTCAACAATGCCGTCAGTCAAATCAAGCACTTCAATCCAGACGCGACCCTGAACACGGACCAGCTGGATTGCTTTGGATATGTTTTGGGTGACATGTTCTTCCCGTCAGCTACGGAGACCGAAACCACCAATGATGCACCTCCCCCCTGGGAATCCGGTGATGGAAGCCGCCGCACAGCAATTCGAGCAAGAAATGAGAGAAATTTTTCCCCATATCTCGGATCAACCTTGAAGACCCGGAATGCCGGGGTATTTTGTAATCTTGATTTTAGAATTGACATTTACGAATTTTAGGCCGCATGTTGGTCACTGTTTTTTTTTGCTCTTAATGATATTTGGTAAATTCGGACATACTGTTTTGGCATATCTCTACTCCGTATATATCGTTTTCTTCGTTCACCTTTGATCCCTCCTAGAGAAAACGAGTTCAAATACCTCGTCCCGAGCTGCAGGGCTAGAACAATAACCTGCGCTTGAGGCAAGGCGGGTTCAAATACCTCGAGTTTGTTACCGCGGCTAGAACGCTCAATTCCACCCTTTGGGTGTGACGGTTTCAAATCCGACAGATTTTCTCACGAGGCTAGAACACTCTATCCTGCCTTTAGGCTGGACGGGTTCAAATACCTCGAGTCTATTTCCGTGGCTAGAACACTCAATTCCACCCTTTGGGTGAGACAAGTTCAAATTCGACAGATTTTCTTACGGGGCTAGAACACTCTATCCTACCTTTGGGCTGGACGGGTTCAAATACCTCGTGTCTATTTTCGTGGCTAGAACACTCAATTCCACCCTTTGGGTGAGACGGGTTCAAATCCGACAAATTTTCTTACGGGGCTAGAACACTATATCCTGCCTTTGGGCTGGACGGGTTCAAATACCTCGTGTCTATTTCCGTGGCTAGAACACTCAATCCCACCCTTTGGGCAAGACGGGTTCAATTCCTCCGGATTGCCTTACGGGGCTAGAGCGCTCAATCCCGCCCGTTGGGCTGGACGGGTTCAAATACCTCCGGATTGCCTTACAGGACTAGAACGCTCAATCCCGCCCGTTGGGCTGGATGAGTTCAAATACCTCCGGATTGCCTTACGGGGCTAGAACGCTCTATCCCGCCCATTGGGCTGGACGGGTTCAAATACCCCGGATTCCCTTGCAAGGCTAGAACTCTTAACCTTGTCGATTTGGCAGGTTAGGTTCAAATACCTCGGATTTATCTTTTATGGCAGAAACACTTCAGTTCTGCTGCTTCATAATGTATTCTCAATTGTAAGAGGAAACAAAAGTTGTTCAAATTTATTCATAATTCAAATTGTGTAATACAATAAAAGAAACGATGAAAGAAAGGCATTGAGGTTTCCGTCAACTGTAATACTTTTTTAGCTTATCTGCGTTCCATGTTCTTGCCAGGCGTTTCCCTTGCAGGGTTTCCAAAACGTAGGCTCCTCTTGAAAGTTTTTCTTTTATTCTGAACGGGCCTTCCCATCTTGGAGCCAACTTCCCATCAGCTGTGTTTCGTCCTCCGACATCTGCTCTTCGGAGCACCAAGTCCTTTGTCTCAAACATCCTGGGCTTCACCTTCTTATTGAACCTACTAGCCATGAGCTGCTTGGCGCTGACATTTCTGCAGTGCGCCATGACCCGACCTTCGTCTATCAGATCCAGTTCTACGGCTATTTTGCTGCTGTTCACTTCTTCTGCTTGCGACAAGGCTTGAACCCTTATCCAAGATGGTTCTCCCAATTCTACCGGGATCATAGCCTCGCACCCGTGCGTTAGCCTGAATGGGGATTCCCCAATAGAAGTCTGGGTTGTGGTTCTGTACCCCCACAAGACATAATATAACTCCTCAACCCACCTTCCTTTGGCGGATTGCTCTATACGCCTTCGAAGACCTTCCACGATGACTTTGTTTGCAGTCTCTGCTTGGCCATTTGTTTGAGGGTGTTCAACCGAGGCAAAGCGATGCCGGATGTGGAAATTCTCCATCAGGTTTTGAAACCCTTTACTTGCAAATTGAGTCCCGTTATCGGTTACCATTTCTGCCGGAATCCCAAACTGACATATTATGTTCCTCTCCAGAAACCGCTGAATCCGGCCCGAAGTGATGGTCGCGACTGGTTCCGCTTCAATCCACTTAGTGAAATAGTCAACTGCCGCCACTAACCATTTAAGCTGGCCTTCAGCTGCTGCGAATGGATCCAAGAGATCCATTCCCCATTTGTAGAACGGCCAGGGAGCCGTGATTATACTCAACTCCTCAGGGGGAGCCAACAAGTTCCTGTCGTGCTTCTGACACTGATCGCACTTCTGTACGTGGTCCTTCGCATCGTAGACCATGGACGGCCAAAAGTATCCAGCTCGAAGAGCCTTCCAGGCTAACGCCTTTCCCCCAACATGTTGCCCATTAATTCCGTCTTGGATCTATGCTAGAACATACTGGGCCCTATCCGAGTTCAAACATTTTAACAGAGAGGTGAAAATACCTTTCTTATAAAGTTGTCCCTCTATTATAGTGTATGATGCTGCATCTCGGATTAGCTTCTTGGCCTCTGCTCTGTCGACAGGCAACGTTCCATTTTCGACGTACTCAATAATGGGAGTACGCCAATCATTCACCTGGGAAATCTGCATGATGCATGTTGGTTCTAGGATACTTTGCTCAATCACGGTCCTTTGGTTTCCCCATCCCTTGGTGCTCGCCAGCTTGGACAATATGTCCGCTCTGCTGTTCTCACTTCTTGGAATGTGACTAACCTCTGCCTTTTCGAAGTCTGCCATTATTCGTCTTGCATGCTCAAGATACTTGGCCAGTAGGGGTCCTTTGACCTGGTAACTTCCTTCAATTTGTGAAGTGACCAACTGAGAATCACTGTAAACCTTCACTTTTCGAGCTCTGAGCTCTTGTGCCTGCAACAGTCCAGCTATGAGGGCCTCATACTCAGCCTGGTTGTTGGAAGTTTCGAAGTCCATTTGCATAGAGTACTCAATTGCAACGCCGTCAGGGTTTTCAATAATTACCCCGGCTCCGCTCCCCTTTGCATTAGAAGACCCATCAACATACACATTCCATATATCCAGGCTAGCAGGATCCGTCGTTTGGATTGAAGTGAGCTCGCGAACGAAGTCGGCCAATGCCTGAGACTTGATCGTTTTACGGCTCTCGAAAGTTATGTCAAATTCCGATAATTCCACCGCCCAACTCATCATCCTTCCCGCCAAATCCGGTTTATGGAGTATTTGCCGGATTGGCAGGTCGGATCGCACCAGGATCCTATGTCCTTGAAAATACGCTCGGAGCCTCCTTGCCGAGATTAGGAGAGCAAAAGCCACATTCTCCAGCCGTTGATATCGAAGTTCGGCTCCTTGCAAGTGCCGACTCACGAAGTATATCGGTTGTTGGCCCTCTGCATTCTCCTGCACCAGAACCGAACTCACTGCCACATCTCCAACGGATAAGTACAAAATTAAAGTTTCCGACTCCCTTGGCTTTGCGAGCACCGAAGGAGAAGAAAGTTGCCTCTTGATCTCCTGGAACGCAGCTTCACACTCCGAGGTCCAACCGTACTGAGCTTCTTTCCTCAGCAGCTTAAAGAAGGGCAGGGTTGTCTCCGCCGACCGGGGTAGGAACCTTGTCAAGGAGGCCAACCTTCTTGCTAACTGTTGTATCTCTTTCTTACTTGTAGGCGCCGCCATACTTAGAATGGCCCCACACTTATCAGGATTCGCTTCTATCCCTCTATGTGTGAGCATAAAGCCAAGGAACTTCCCTGCGAAAACCCCAAAAAGGCACACTTTGCCGGGTTTAACCTGATACGATGTTGCCTGAGCTTATCAAAGGTCTGCGTTAAGTCACGAACGTGTACTGGCATATCAACCGACTTCACTATCATGTCATCAATGTATACCTCGACATTCCTGCCCAGTTGATCAAAGAATACTTGGTTCATCATTCGTTGATATGTGGCTCCCGAATTTTTCAGCCCAAAGGGCATCACATTATAACAGTAATTTGCCTTTTCTGCGATGAAAGCCGTTTTCTCCTGATCCTCAAGGTGCAGTGGAATTTGGTTATATCCCGAATAAGCGTCCATGAAGGATAGCATTCGGAACCCGGAGGAACTGTCAACCAATTGGTCGATGTTAGGCATTGGGTATGCATCCTTAGGGCACACCTTATTTAGGTCAGTGTAATCTGTGCATACCCTCCACTTTCCATTTGGCTTCTTCACCATGACTACATTGGACAACCAGGTTGTGTACTGTATTTCCCTGATGAATCCGGCCTCTAGTAGTTCTTTCACGTGATCCTCCAGCACCTGTCGGCGCTCTAAGCTTAACTTCCTCTTCTTCTGTGCAACTGGTTTTGAGCCGGGATAAATAGCTAACCTGTGACAGCAAAATTCTGGATCCACGCCTGGAATATCTGAAGATTTCCAAGCAAAGTGTCATTATAACTCCTCAAACAGGAGGCCTGCTGGGCTTTTTCCTCATCCGTCAGCCCATTCCCTATCTTTGTTGTTTGTCCTGGTGCTCCCACAGTTACCTCCTCTAGCTCTCCGTCAGGTTCCGGCCTTGGCATCTTAGTTTCATCCCTCATATCCAATTCCACCATATTAACCGAGCTCCGCTTCGAAGATTGGTAACCACTCTGCTTAATCATAGCTACATCTTCGGGATTTCGGTCCACCACACGTACAGATCTGAAGTAGCAATCTCGAGACTCCTTCTGGTCCCCAGCTATGGTAAGCACCATACCCTGTTTACCAATCATTTTTAACTTTTGATGCTTGGTTGAGACTAGCATGTCCCAAGCATGAATTGTAGGTCTTCCCAAAATCACATTGTATTCGGGTGGGAGGTCGGCTACAATGAACCTCACCCTTTCGGATTTGTATGCCTTTTTAGTCCCCAATGTTAATCGGAGATCAATATATCCTTTAGGAGTAGTGTTGTGGCCATTAAACGCGATTAAAGCCGTGTTGCAAGTCTTCAAATCTTCTTCGTCCAAATTCATCTTCTTAAATGCGTGCCATAAAATTATATCGGCACAACTTCCATTGTCCAGAAAAAACTTCCTAACTCTGCAATTGACCAGTGTTCCTATAATCACCAACCCATCAACATGTCCTGGCACTACATCCTCGAGCTCCTTCTTTGTGAAGTATAACAGTGGCTGCTCTGGTTCCTCTTCCTGTTTAAACTTGGGGCGCTCTCGAATGGAAAGCACCTCACGCAAATATTTACGTCGGGCATTCATTGTGTCGCCACCACCACCAAAAGCTCCACTGATCACGTTGCACTCGAACTCCGGCTCTTGGAATTCGTCATCTTCTTTAGCCGGCTTCTTACCTCGTCCTTCCTCCTTAAACTTCTTATCCTTGGGTGGGCTTTCGAGCCGCCCCCCTCTCCTCTTCCTGTTTCTCCATCCCTGCGTAAGGATCAAATACTGCCGCAACTTCCCCTCTCTAATGTACTTCTCAATTGCATCTCTAAGGTCCCAACATTCATCTGTTGTATGACCCGGCCCATCGTGAAATGCGCAGTACCGTTCCGGTCTAAACCTGCCTGGTTCTGTAGAGGCCGAGGTCGCTCGACTTTCTTCATGTCGGTGGACGCACCTCGCGCCATATTTGTGACCGAGAAGAGTTCAGGGGGGCATATTTATCAAACCTTCCATTGGCCTGCTGCCTATCTTCCTGCCGTTTTCCTCGAAGGTCATTCATTCGTCGGCTCCCAAACTTGTCCCCCTGACCAGGTTGTTGCTTTTGGTCCACATTTTCCCACTCCATCTGCTCGAGCTCCAGGTATTTTTTGGAGCGCGTGTTGAACTCCACTAAGGTCCGAGGTGGATCCTTACATACTGACTTAGCTAACCGGGATGTTCCGTGCAACCCGGCTATCACCAGATGTAAGTGAACGTTTTCTGGCAATCCGGGTACTTGAAGCGCGGCCAACTTGAACCGATATAGGTACTTCTGTAGTGTCTCCCCTGGTTGCTGCTTAATTTTCCCCAACGCGAATTCCGACTTCGGCTGCTTCTTACTGGTGGCGAAGTTCAGCAAGAACCGCCCACCAAACTCCTCAAAGGATTTGATGGATCCCGCTGGTAATGACGAGAACCACGCCTGGGCTGCCCCGGTTAATGTAGTTGCAAAAAGCCTTGTGATCAGGGGTTCCTCTATCCCTTTGATGTACATAGTTGTATCAAAGGCATCCAAGTGTACCTGCGGATCCTGTGTTCCTTCATATTTGATCAACTCAGATAAATTCAAATTTTCTGGGTATGGAGCTTCTACAATCTCATCCGTGAAGGGACTGTCATTGTACTTCCCCCTGTTGTATTTTCTTTGGTATACCTCGGTTACGTCATCTGGAGCCCGGGTGATGGGCCCCTGACGGTGGATCTCGGCAGGGCGCTGCGGGTCTGGTACATTCCGGGGTTGCTGATTGTTTGCAGCGTTTCCATGGCCCGGAGGGTGCCGTGGTTGTTGGCGTGAACCCGGGTGCACCAGGGTTTGCGGGAAGAACCCGGGTCCGGCATTAGCCCTTGCAGGACGATGGGTGCGTTCCTGAGTGTCCTGCTGGGGGTTCGCAATTTGCAGATCTGTCACCACCTGCGCGATGGCCCGCTCGAGGTCTGGATTTGTTGCGCGCCACAGCTAATCCTCCAAATCTCGGATCTGCCTTGCATCCGCTTTCCGTTGCAGCTCATTACGCTGTTCCAATTCCTCCATCCTTCGAAGTACGGCTGCCATAGCTAAGCTCGTCACCCATGGATCCGGGGCTTCTGCAGTTGGGTCTTCAATTGGCTGTAACCCTGGGAGATATGGGGCATTTGGGTTGACCACAGGAGTTGATGTTGAATCTGAATGCACGTCACTAACGTGCACCGTATCTAGATCTGGAATCTGCGGCATCTGCTCCCTTGATTCCACGGGATCTTCCTTAACAGAAGGAGGAACTTGGAAGTTTGATGCGGAGGGTTGACGAAGGCCACTCCTTGTTGTTCTCACCATCGATTTGGTTGACTTTCACGATGTTTGCCGTGTAAAAGTTTCCCACAGACGGCGCCAATGTTCTGCCCTAGGCAGATGTGTCCAATTAGGATTGGATGATTGATCTATGATTCAGGTGTCTTCTCTGAATACCTATGAGTTAGGTATCTTAAGGACAGCAGATCACACACTATCTGATGGCCTTAGCCTTGGGGAAAGTGTGTATGTGTGTACTATCTAGGCTGCGTAAATAGGTAAAAAGAGATTAGGCCATACCCGTGGCGTTTAGCTCCTACTTATAATGCTTACCCGTGGGCCTGTGCTGATCATGGGCCTTACTGACCATGGGCCTCATTCTGGTCCATAACACTTAGTTTATGAGTTCATGTTCGAAGCGTACAAAAAATTAAAATGTTGAGTTCATGTTCTTACTATTTAAGGGTTATTACCACCAGTTGTTGAGCTCAATGGAAAATCTAGTCCAACTATACAAACAGAAAGAGGATTTCAGTAGTTGAAATCTCTTATCGGTTGGTCTCGTGAAATCTCTCACCGGTCGGTGTGGTAGATGATTTACTGATGATACGACTACTGAACTTTAAGACTCCCGATTTAACTTCATGCTAGAACAGAAATTCACTTAGCTTCTCGAAATGAATCATCCATACGCATTTTTTTGAGTGTGCTAATTGGTATTGGAACTAATGAAGGAAGATTTTCGATCTGCAATCAGTCTTTCATGGACGTCAAGAAGAACTTTGATTGATCGATGAGACATAAATCCATTTTGTGCTATTGCATGTGCTGAAGAGAAAGCATGTCTTTGGATTTTGAATCCACATTTTGCTGTAATTGAAGAAAATGAATAGGTGGCACACTTGGTCAGGCCCTTCTGAAACGTGCATGACCTATTCCTGACATGTCAAGGAGAGAAATAACCTCTCTGAACCTGTTTACAATAACATATGCAGTAGCTTCGAATTTATACTCATTTTCAACCCAAAACAAAAATACAGTCACTCACGCTCAGCTTACTTTGCTCATCTGCTTGCCGCTGCTTAATTTTAAGATCATATTCTCTCTGCCTCGCCGATGAAGCTTGACCAATAGCCAATTTCATCTCTTCAGCATAAGTTAAGGTTGGCGGCAAGGCCGATGCATTCGGTGATTCCGTTACCGTTACTCGAAAAAAAAGTAAGATCATTGTCATCTCTGACAACAACCTAAAAAAGGATGGGCTTTAATAGGTCGAATATTTATCCAGCACAAGTGAGAAGATGATTAGGTCTCATCAAGAAATAAAAAATGATTGGGTAAAATGAAACTATACAGGCCCAGTGGTTATCCTGAGCATAGCCTTTGCTATGGTGGAGCTCTCTGACATTCCCCAATTCCTAAGACGAAAATGACAAATGAGATAAGGAGCTCGTCCAATTTATCGGCGAAGTCATTGCTATCCGCTGGAATAATTTTTCAGCACAGGGGTTTGAAGTAGTACATCGTTGGTGTTGTCATCGCCATCGTTAAAGACTCATTGGCTTGTTGGTTATTTTTTCGTTCAAAAATCATGTTCATAAGCTTCTCAATGGTATGAAAGCCAGCAAAAGCCACATGCTGCACTGCAGAATCATTGTTTCCCGCAAAGCCCCTATACCCAATTATATTGCAAAAGAAGAAAATGAAATAAAAAAAGAGCAG